TGTGTTTGCAGTGTCTGTGTACTTCCTCTTCCCTCCTGTGTTACTTTAATGCAGCAAGAGCAAGGAGAAATAAGTTATTTTTCCAGTAGAATTGCCAAAGCTGACTTGTAAAGTTTTAGTGTACAAGCTACTTTAGGTTTCAGGCTTCTGCACTAGACCTATGCTTGCTTCTCTTTTGCTGAAACTAGTACGCAAAGTGATTTTTGAGCTCTCTCTGAACCAGAGTGTGTGTGTACGCAAACCATTTACCAGCTATGGAGCAGACCTGGCATTCTCCCTGCTATTGTTCTGCAAACTTCCGGCAAGACTGTTACTCACTGGCAAAAGGTTAGAGGTAATGTTATCCCATCAGTGGGATTTGGAGACCTTCAGCCTTTATTTGTGTTAGCCAAGGTGAAATTCATTTGGAGGCTTGCTAGAAAAGATAGGTGGAACACAGGAAGTCACACCAGCAGCTGCTAGGAAGCTATTGTATTAGTTTCAGAGCTACTCTACAGAGCAGTTCATCTTATTTCAGTTTGGGGGGGGGGTTATTCTCCTTTCACCTACTCTAGTGTAACAAAATGCAAGTTTCAGACAAGTGAAAGTAGTGCTATGATGCAGGGCTCCTTTCTTCTGGTCTAGGGTACTGTCCAGTGAGTAGATTCATTATTGAGCCCGGATCTGCTCGCTAGCTGTGAGAGCATGCTGCACAGCTTGTCTGTTCACCTAGGCTTTGTAGAAAGGTATTGCATTTGTTAACTAGCATTTACATGTGAATAGATGAATGCTACTGATTAATTCTGGAACAATATGATCACATCATGATTGTCTACAGGCATTTTTAAAGTACTTTCACTACGTGGCGTTCGTCTGTATAGACAGTACCTCTGTATGAAGCTGAAGAAAGAGATGTAATATTGATAGCAGCAGCAAAGAAATCTGTGCAAAATTCAAGTACTGGCCAGGAGGAAACAGTTCAGAGTTCCAAGGCTGTATATGTGCCGTCAGCCCTTTACTGGGTAAACTAGCAAACTGGAAAAAGCATATGATCTTACTGTTCTTAGTTATTTGATATTAAAAAAAAGTGTGACTTGTTGCTACAGTGCATGCACACATGAGAACTCCTTTGCCTGTTCAATTATTGAACCCTGCTGATACCCACTGGAGATCTGGCTGCCCAACAAGCTGTATTAATGAATATTTGCTTTGTGATCTGGTCATACAGACTTCAGCATACTTGTAAGCTATTTCAGCTTGCCTTGTGGCAGAAGTATTTACAAGTAGAAGTGTTTGTCTGGCTATATGAATTGTTGCCTAATGTGAAAAAAATAGAAGATTAATAGACAAGCCAAAGGTTTTTGTTGGTGCAGAGAACAGCCAAAATTCAGAAGCCATGTGGCAGAGCAAGATATCTCAGCTCAGGGGCCTTACCTGCTCCACGTTGTTCTTCTGGTTTCTTCTGACTGACCCAGCCCACCAAGCTGGTTTTGCTAAATGCTGATTTCTCCTCCTCAGAACAACGTCGTAAGCGCCAAATCCTCACAGTGTTGTCATCAGAGCATGTGGCAATCTACAGTATAAATTAGTTGGTTGGAGTAACCAGGGCACATCTTAGGGATCACTGGCCAAGTGAACTAGAACAGCTGCACCCAACACACCATGCCAATATGAATGAGGGAGAAGCCTGGTTGAGAGGGTACAAGATTCGCCCATAAAGCAAACAAAACAAGCCAACTCTCTGTCATTGCTTTACTAGAGTGCAGTATTTGCTTTAAAGCAGGCAAGGCTGCCGCCTTCATGTCTTTCTGCTAGAGAAATCTCAATCACCAGTAACTGTGTGCCTTGCATAGCTCCATAACAGACAGCAGTCTGCTCAGGAGGGGCCAGGGCATATTTTGAGATTTCAAGCACTCAGTAGACAAAAGCAGCCATGCTGCTTTTTGCACCTGCATCTAGGTCTATCTCTATTACTCAAGACCTCTTCTGCTTGGGGACGAACATTTGCAACACACTGAGAAGGTGACATTGGAAGGCTGTTGCACCAGCCTGAAGTGCTATCTCTTCAGAGTCAGATGTCAGCAGTATCTGACAGAGAAACCAACTCTGATAGAAACATTGGTCTAGATTCCCGCCGCAGCATCACCCTGTGGAATCTTGTCCAAAGAAGCAGCAGAACCCACCTAGCCCACATTTTATGGCTGCCTTTGGACAGATTAGCTGGTGACTTGCATGGGAATTAGCAGCGAGAAAAAGGAAATGCTGTGGCCAAAGTTCATAGTAATCTGGGTGGGAAACTGCTTCTACTCTGATCTCTGTGACACCAATATTATCCCTCCAGAAAGCAACGTTGCCTCTCAAATCACTCCAAACAGCTTCCTGACCTGTTTTAGCACCACATTTTCCACTTTTCTTCAAGCTTCGGCATCTGTACAATGGCTGACTATTTCTTACCTGTGTCAGTAACGATTTTAAAGGCTGTATTGGTCTGCTTTTCCAACACATCATGATCAGGATGCTGGGCTACCTCTAGATCACAGATTTCATCTAAAATGCTAATTAACATATTTTCGTGCATCTTACACAACTAGAACCATTCCTTCTCTTTGCCTGCAAGACTCCCACCCTCCTATACTGCTACGCTTTTCTGAAGACCCAGTGCTATAGGGCAAGCTAGTGAAAGTGGCTGACTTGCTTCATACTGTGGGGTGAAAGAAACTCTGGCTATTATTAGGACACGGTCTAGGATTTTTCAGGGTTATTCTGATCTTGAGCTAGGCCAGTCATTACAGCCAACCTCTTACTGCAGTTCTCTTCTAGTGATACCTGGTGCATAATTACTGACCCAATTTCACTGTAGGTTTTTGGGTGTACACACACAAATATGTCATAAAAACAGCTCAGATTTTGAAAAAAGGTCACAATGAAAAGAGTCCACATGTTTTTTAAAGGGCATTCAAAACTTCTTGCTGCTCTGTACAAGACTAGCAGGTGTATCAACAGTCAGACAGATAAGGAAGCTGGAAGCATGGAACCACAAAACAAGCTTTTGGCTTATGAAAGCCCCGATTAAATGGTTTCACAGTTTTGTCTCTTACAGATAGTGTCACAAGCTCTCATCAGAAGAGGTCTTTGTTCATTTGCAATTTCCTAGGTTCAAATAGCCTAAATTATTTGAAAATAATGAAAAAGTTCTGATACTCATGTGACAAGCTTGGTTTACCGCCCCCCTCAAGTGAACATTTTTAGAAATTACTTACTAAAAACTTCCCCCCAAATAAACAAATACTGCTGGATTTTGAAAGCAGATGTTGCCACATCACATCTATTGTTTCATGGGAAAGACAATTTTCCAGAAAACAAACCTTAGTGAAGTCTGAAGGACACCAAGTAACAGAGGTAACTTCTTGAGAGTGACCAAGGAGTATCCGTGGAGGAAGACTGGGCTCAGAAACCTTACAAATGTCATAGAAAAATAAGTATACAATCAGAAGCCCCACAGCCAAATATACATCACTAAGTAATGACCTCATGACCCACCTGTGAAGCATATGAATACTTTCCATCTTTCCTATATGAGACAGATAAATCAAATGCTCTCAGCCTGTCATCATGAGGCAAAAACTCATGGAGCCCTAAGAATCAGTTCATGTTTCATTTCTACAGGTGAAGCAGCTGGTCAGCACTGAGATGTACTGACTTGCCTGGAAACACTTGTTCAATTCCTGCTACACATAGGATTTCTGCCTCCAGAGTTGTCAGCCCAAAACACAACATAAGCGTTTTACTATATTAAGTACCTCTACCTGCTCTAGGTAAGATGCTTAAAAGTTTGGGAAGCTCATACTTTGAATCAGAATAGGCAAATATATTCTGCTGCCATTTGACAAATGTCCCAATCACAGGTCAATGGTTTATTAAAAAAATAAAACCGCCACCAACCTTCACTGGCATCAGAACTGGCATTTGTGCCAAGTGCCTGTACTCCTCCAGCCAACTAGCTGGACCAGAGACCCTCTTAAGAGTTCATAAAAAAGCTCCCTAAACCACTCATGCTCATTAAACTGATCTCCATTTCTCTTACACCCTTCATAAAAATCCTGTTCTACAGTATTACTATTAAGCTTTGATTACAGCTCATGTAAGCGACAGATACAGCTGAAACTAGCATTAAGTGGCCCAAGGAAGAAAACACGCACGCATACACACACACACACAGAGATTATATCCAAGTTCTGCATGCTTTCAGCAGGCAATCCTTTCTGGAGCTATGAGTCACCATTATTGATGTGACATTATAAGGGGGATTTATCAAGGGGATTTGCATAAATGACTAAGTGAATGAACAGATCCTTTACTGTGTGGGAAAAGGAGTAGACATTACATATAGATATCAAAAGAAGATGCAACACATCGGGGAATGCTTCTGATTTACACACAAGTTTTTCTCTTGTGGATCACCTCCTACAACAGCCTGCAAAACCATAATTGAATATCCAGCTTCAGATCTTAAAGTTTGTCTGATACAAACAGGTTCATCTTAACAGGCTGCTTTTTTTTTTCCTGGCTTAGCAGAGGCAATCACTTGACTAAATATCCTCTAAATGCCTTGGTCAGAGTATTCCCTTCTCTGCCAAAACATGCAATACCATGGAAACTAAATCCCTATTTAGGGAATAAACAACAGGAGATCTTGGTGCAGAGAGCACCTTCATTTACATTTAATAGCAGTCTTGCTGTACACACTTAACAGACACAATAGCGGTCCAGTAGCCACTGACTGCTGAAAGGAAAGCAGGAGGAGAGAATTACTCTTGCGGTTTTTACACTATACTAGTGTAAATTAAACTAACTACACCCAACTTATATTATTGTGAACTAAAGGAGGATGCATAGTTATAGCTGTGTCTACTGTGTGTGGCAGAAGACAGTTGGCCAGCCTGCGCATGTTAAATCAGGATTAGCCACAGCACATGCTGCTTTTTGCCTGATTTGACAGGATATTGGTGAGGAAGTTAGAGCTATTGTAGAAAGGTTAAAAAGAGAAACCTAGGAAATGAGACTTTATTAGTTACTCCACTCGCTGAAACAGCTGTTAAATCCATCTTCAAGATTCAGCATAAAATGGTGTATATAGTTTTATGCACCACACGATAAAGAAGCACTCCAATCCCAATGCTGGAACAGACCAAAGGGTAACTTAATATGGTCACCTTGGAGTGGTCCACACCAAAGGATTCAAAGGATAATGGAAGTATATGTCTTTAAAGGATATCTCAGCTAGGTACTATTGTTGTCGAGAGAAACATCTCTGTTCTCTGGCTTTTATAATCTTAGGGTTCTTCAAGAGTCAGTTCATTAATCAATGGACTAATAATTAAAAAAAACCAAAACCCCAACACAGTAAAGCAAGTGTTCATTGCCTGAAAGTGATTTATATATGGAAACAGACTGAAACAGCATCCTCGTCAGCAATAACTTCTAGCCAGTGTTCCTTGGGAATTGCTGACCCAAACACAACTTAGCACTGCTGCAGAAGTTTCTCAAAGAAATAATCTGGGTGGATGCGATCTTGCTCTGTGTTTCATTCCTCTCTAGATATGGAAAATTAGCACTCTTCATTAAGTTCTTTCCAAAATTACCTGTTAATTGCTCATGCAATATCTAGCCACGTTTTTTTTTACAGCATAGTAAGTCCTCATCCCAGGAAAAGACACATATGTTTCAGAGTCAGTAAAAACTGCCAACATTTAAAACAAATTAAGAAGTCTCTGTATATGACAGATCTCAAATGAGACAGTTTTGCTGGAAGTCCCACTTTCTAACATGAGTATGGGAGTAAAATAAAAGTAATCATCTCATGATTTATTTAATAAATATGCAATATGATCTGTCACTCATATGTGATAGCAACAGAAACCTTCTGTACACAAATGCATTTTAAACGTGCTTAAATGCTTAAACTTTGGGATGTAATGACATCCTTGAATTCTCTCAACCCAGTCCCAGCCTGTGTTCTATGAAAGCATCAAAGCACATAAATGCAGGATGCGCAACTCAAGTTTGCACAGGTATTTTTGCTGAATTTGCACAGAACATGAGGAAGGTTAAAATTACACCACTTGCCATGGGAGTAGCCGTGCTACTGCACTCCTGCTACTACTGAGTAAGCAATCTAACTGCTTAGAAGTGTTCTCCAAATCAAAGAGACTACATGCTCAAACCACAACCTCAGCAGGCTGACCCTCTGCTCTGAAAGGCTTGTATTTTACTTTCAAACTTATCAAGAAAGGGGTAAACAAGTTGGCATTTCCTAAAAATTACCCCAAACCTGAAAAAGGCGGTCAACTGTGGTTTCTGTCTATTCTACTTCAATAAGAAGTCTACTCTGTTCCCATATAGCTGTCAAGTATGGAGAAGAGAACTTGAAGCATGCCTTGTTCTGCAGTCCCTGCTATTAACTTGGTGACATTTACATTTCCTACATGTCAGTGCAAGATGACAAGTGACGAAGCCTCTCAGCTGTCAGACGGTGCTTTGGAATTTTGCTGAAGGCTCTTGCTGAGACCTTCCTGTAATACAAAGGCTTTAACTACTGTAAATTAAGCATGAGAAAAAGCTACGTCTGAAGCAAGAGCTGGAAAAGGGGAGGTGGGGGGCAAGAGTGTCTTTTAAAACAATTAAATTGTTATATTTCTACCAATGTGCTCCATTGCTAAATATGAACCAAGAACTGTCTGTCTACTTGTCATAGCTGGCTGAATCAACAGGATTGAAAGAGGATTTTAATGCCCATTAAAACCAGATTAAGATCAGCAACTTGGAATAAGCAGCAGTGGAGAGAGACGTATTGATGGCAGTAGGTTAGCTCTGTTTTACATTAAACAGTTACACATAGCCTTGACAGCAACAAACACATTCTGGGCACAACATGCCAGGAGCGAACCCCACGCTGCTTTGAGTAGGAGTGGGAGGCAGGGAGCGTCCTACATGAACATGAAAAGCAAATGAAACCAAAAAGCAGAGCAGCTCTGGGTTGCATGCTTGGGTCTCTCCTAGTTGCCTCACCTTCCAGATGTACGCGTTGCAGTCACTCGAGCCACTGATCAGGAACTGGTCATCTGGGCTGATGCTGGATTTGATATAAAAGGTTGAGTTCTGGTGCCCACTGAAAACGGCTACTGTGAAGAAAAAAGAAAAAAAAGAAAATAAAAGCCCCACTCAATGCACAGCCGTGGAGTCAGTTGCGCAAGGAGGGCTGATCTTACAGGCTTTTCCTGCCTAGCCACATATCCTCTGGAGAAAGTGGTTGCACTGCTCCCTCACTCTGGGGCTTGGGTTCCGGCAGCAGGGAGTTTTCATTATTCAACTGGAGCCCTTCAGACTTCCCAAAAGAAGCAACAGCTCTCTCCACAGCATTAGGAAGCAGTGGCAGTTTCATTAAAGCTTTAGCTTTACCCATATCACAAGCAGTCCGAGACATCACCTGAGCTGCCCCACTACTCTGGTTAAGGTTTCTTGTCTCCTCCTCTCTCAGCTGCCATCACCAGCCCTGCTACATTAACAAGGGCAGTCGCACGGAAAACATAGCAAGGGCCTTCTTCCACCCAGGCAACAACAAAGGCACTTGCTGCTCCTTCCTCCTGCTGCCAGCATCTTTATTTTGTCAACAAAACTTGCATCGTGTCAGCCACGCTCGCCGGCTGCCTGTATTTAAAGCCTCAGTAGTGTTTGCTAAAGCCTTGAAACCATTGCTCCGAATGGCTGTCGTTCCCCCTATTGCAAGGACCTGAAGAGCTGGCAGCCAGCACAAGAACCGAGTGTGGATCTAAAGCACTCAGCCGTACCATGTCCCATCCTCTCATTGGGGCAGAAACAGTGAGTTTCCTGATGTAGCACCAGGCAGGGCTGGCAACCCCTCTACCAGCCCTGTTTTAATAGTGGTTTTGGTGATGGAGGTGACTCACAGACCAGAGGATGCATGGCTGCCTTTGAAAAGTTGTGAGACCCCAAAATATCCCTTAATTTTTACCCACAGCTCTCTCAGCACAGCAGTTACCAGACAGCAAGTCCATTCCTAAGCCAGACCTACCAGCAAGTCCTGTTACAGTGAGGATTTCCTCACATTCCCCTGCAAGCTACAGCTGACACAATACTAGACAAGAGCAGCCACAATCGGGATAAAAGCTGGCGAGCGAGGAGAGCAGCACCAACCCACGGGCAGGCGCTGCCCTCTGCGGGAACAGCACGCACATGTTTCATCCAGCTGGATGAATCGAGATTGCTCACTGGGTTTTATCACCTGCACACAGAAGGCAAGAGCTCCATGAGGAGGCCCAGGGTGGAATGCCCTCTGCTTTGGAGAGAGCCCACTCCTGCAGGGGGACAGGTGGGTGAGCCTATTTCCACAGCTCAGCGGTGGCACCTGGGGTTAACCTCAACAACCGACCTATTAATATTTACTACTTGCACCGCTTCTCGACTCTGGAAGCATTCCCACCCAGCAGACTGCCTTCCTGAAGAGCAGACAGAAGGACACATTGTTCATTTAATTTCAATGAACTGAGAGACTTAGAAAAGGCAATGGAAACTAAATCATGTGTCTAGCTGGAATGCATCTAACAAGTTTTGCCACTTTCTGAGAAGCTAGAAATTTTTTTTCTGTGACAAAGCAGCTTAGTGTACCAAAGGCTGTAGGCCATCTTGTCAATGTAAAGGTCACAGATGCAGAGCGGAAGGAATCTAAAAAGCTGAAGCATCTCCACAGTATGCTGGGGATGCTTTCTCGCAGAAACTGTGGCAGAAGCCGAATTTAAAAGACACCTTAAAATACAACATATCAGGTGATCACTTTACATGGATTCATATCAAAGAGTTTGAAAAATCAGTGACTGTCAGTGAGCAGAAAATTCAAACTTTCTTCACGTGCGTAGCAGCTGGACACTAGCCATTTCTCACCAGATAACTAGAGTCAACATGCAAACGACCATTAGTGTCTGACTGGATGAACCAGTATCTGCACTTATGTAAGTTTTTGTGCTATTAATTTTGTGTGGACAGCTTAACATAAAATACAAACAGCCCTAGTAACAGGTGCCTTCTCTTCTGTGTAGCTTTAGACATAAGAGCATGGAATAGGTTTTCTAAGCGTTCAAGCTGGTCTCTGTCTCTCTGTCATAGGGAGAAACTTGCCTTTCTGTGGTCTGTAACATCTGTTTTTTGCAGCTATTTCCACAGATATCATACTTACCTGGAGTGGTCCTTAAACTTGCCATATTGAACATGTAGATACTGTCATCAGTGCAATTAGCAAACAGATTAGCACCAGTGGAACCCAAAACCAGGCTAGAATATCCTATAGACAAAGAAAGAAGTTCTTCATAAGAAATAACTCCACAAAAAACATTTTGGAAAACAGGCATTCTCAAGGAGATGCCTAGAGAGGGAAATTTGGAAAGCATTTCTATCACGTATGAGATTGTCATTGGAAAGTTTCTTTTTTTGACGGAGCACTTGCTGGAGAAGAAAAGTTTCTAGAATAACATCTACATTTTCTCATGAGGATTCAGGGTGATATTTAGAGAGGAATCTCACCTTCAGAGCAGGCAAGTGATTTATTTGATAGTTTCAAATGGGTAACAGGAACGATTTTAGAAGTAATATAAATATAAACATAATATAATATAAATATAAAATAAATAGAAATCTTCATGCTTTGGTAGAATAAGCCATACTCTGATTTGCTACTGATGTATGTTCCAGAAAAATCTTTCCCTGCAAGCAAATTATTTCACAACCAGCTCCTCGAGGATTTCCCTCATGTTCTTGGGACTGACACTGACCGTTACCATGTCAAGACAGTTGATTAGACAAGTCATCAGGAATTACTGTGCTGCATCAGAGCATTGTAAGGCATTAAGATACAAAGAAGCACTGAGCAACATGAACAAGAGCGCTATTGTTTTTGATAACCAACAGCTTCAAGTATTGCTTGACTCTGGAAGGTTATAATGTAAAAACCCAGTTCAGTCTGTTATCTTTGCAAGATACAATAGAAAGAAAGAGTTAAATCTGATTTCTACTCATGCATCAAAACAACTAGCTAAATTCTACCTCAAGAGCTCTGTTATTCCCTCATCTCCATTTCTGAAAATGCACTGCTGAAGCTTATGCAAGTTTTTATCATTGGTGCGATGCCAATTGGGGCACTTTCACTCTTCAACTTGAAAATTTGGTATTGGAAATCAAAATACCCTGCTGAGGTTGTTAGTCTAATCAATAATTGGCTAAAAAGATAAGAGATGGCACTGTCAGTACTTCTTAAGTTCACTTTACACTTTAACAAATACATCCTCCAATCACTTACCAAGTTTCCGAGTACTGCTCCCAGGGTAGCAAAAAGACTTGAAAGGCACCGGGTCCTGACGATAAACAGCATAGTTCTTGCGCAAGTCCCATACTTTGATCACACTGAAATAGAAAGGCACAAGTGTCTTCAACTTCAAAATTTCTTTTGCAATGATGATAGGGCCTTCTAAGAGCACAGGAAGACAGATTGCTCATTACTGAGGGGTGTCCAGTGCCAAGGAGCACAACTGAGCAGAAGTAGAGCACAGACGTGCTGAAAGCAAAACAATTGCTCTGCTGGGTATGGATGAGGAAGCAGCATTGTCTTCTCTAACTAACACAAGATACAACAAGAGCCTGCAAGTCAACTTTCTTCAACTAGTAAAAGGAAATACAAGGATGCCTTTATACTCTTGACTTGTAGTTTTAAAAATTAAGTCCTTCAAGTTTTTTCTTGCTCTCCAGGAGCAAGCCTCTCTCATGAGCCATAGGCAGGAGAGTCAATCTTATCTGCCTCAGAAAGGCTCTGACCAAACAAAGCCTGCTAAAGAATCAAGTTCTGAGAGGGTGATCTCCATGCTAATCAATACGACAGCTTGCTCGAGCTCCAAGATGCTGCAACGGATCTGGCACCTAAAAGAATGCATCTTTTGTAACTCAAGGCAACATTTTCTCAAGCACGCCTACACATATCCAGGCACCAACCACCCACTTGCATCCCAAAACAGCTCATTGTCTAACAGTCGTCTGTTTATGTGTGGTCCCATAGGTCCCTGAGAATAGAGAGAGATGATAAGAACTACTCTCATTCTGCCTCATAGCTAAGACACTAAAATGAGCATTTACAACATATGCATAATTTGTCCTGGCGATGCACTCTCCAATAAGGAAGAGAAGCAGCGTTCAGCTTTGCCAATGCGAGCTGGCAGTGTAGCTCTGCTGATTCTAGCTAATAGTAGCTCTAGCCTTGTGGGCCACTGAGTGATCTTAGGAAAAAAATCTCCCAATCTTTTTGTGCCACTAAGAAGAACACACAGAACAGACGGAAAAGCAGGCATCCTCCCTCCTTACCCATCAACAGCTCCTGCAGAGATAAGAGTATGCTCGTCCTGAAGCAGCACCACAGTTACACTCTGCTGGAAATCCTTAAAAAGAAAAGAAAAAAAACACAACACTTTATTTTCTTTCAAGGTCAGCAAGATCTTGCTGCTTACTTCAAGGCCAAGTGAATACCAAGAAAACCTCCTCCTAGCCAGGCAGGAGAACCTGGAAATACCAGATACCATTTAGGACACAACAATCCTTCAAACACTCCCACCAGTGAAATTGCCACTGAGCTGTAACTGTTTGGGCAGCAGCTTGAGGTGATATCTTTCAGGTCAGAGATAAGAGAACTGCCTTCATCATAAGGTTTAATAGATTAAATAAGACCAGGTCTTACTCCAGTAAGGCAGTAATTTGTGTGATCAAATTAGGGGGAAAAAAAAGAAAGAAAAAAAAAATTACAGTCCTCTCTATCTCCCCCCTCAAAAAAGGAATGCTGGCCACTCCTTTCCTCTCTGGAAAAAAAATGGCATTTTCACATGGTATTTGCACAAAGATGGCTTTGATGGTACATGGGTTGTTAGACTACTAAACAATGTCTAAAACTAGCCATAGCAAGTGACCGACACAAAAACCTACTCCTACAAAGATAAATTTACCATATTCAAGCCAAATATTTCTCACAGTAATTACTTAGGAAGACTTCTGTGCATAACACTGACCTCAGAAAAGAGGCCTACATTTCATTTGTTCCCCAGATACCTACCACCAAGGGAGCAAGTCCTCTTAGGTTCTGCCTCTTCTTCAGTTTGGAAGGAGTCTGCTTGTCCACCACATTGTGTGCTCCACTGATTTGATTCACCTGCCTATAAAATCCATCTGAAAGAAATCAAAGACATCTCAATTAATAGTTTCTATGCAATTTTGCTATCACTTTAATAAAACAGGCATCAGCTTGGAATAAGTCTTAAAAAGTGGCTGAAACTAACTTTTACAATCAGCAATGTATTCTGAAAACAAAAATTGTTAGTTACATATGAAACCGATGAGAAAAACAAAGTAGAAAACAGGCGCATATATTGCAAAAAATTACAGAGGTCAAGGTAGCATGGCCTGTGAAACTAAAACTGGTCTAGGCAGGCTGCTGTTGGAAATCACTACCCCTTGGTCTGGTCTTCAGCATGCATCCTGGTCTGGAGCATTCAACCCATTTCATCCTGAGCAGAACCGCACTCACAGGAAGGTTTCCAGTGCTTCTCCACTCTATTTTATAATTTTCTATTTAGCCTTTTGTCTGCTACTTCTCACTTTATGAAATTTACTGCTTTACTAGAGTAAAGTGACTTTTCTACTTTTTTCCCTATACCTTCCACTCAGTTATGCGGAGCCTCCCTTTTCCCCCCACTTGCCAGTTTGAGGAGCCAGGGAACCTGGGGCAGATGGAAGAGTGAGACATGTTCTGGCAGCACAGGCCAGGAAAGTGCTGGGAGAGAGCAGAGGACTGGGAAGAGGCATAAGGGCATGACCTGACTGGGGAAGGAAAAGCTCCAGGAAACAGAAAGAGAGGAGCAGAATGATCTCACCCTGCATTTAGTAGTGTTCCCACAATATATTCAGTTGCTCCCAGCACTCACAAGCTCCTTTGCTCCTGTACTTTCTGCCTGCCTTCCTACTCTAGCAGGAGCCTTCCCAGCTTTTCTTCATCCCTCCGGATGGCTCTGACCTAAGCACGCTCAGCCAGCCCAACTGTCTCTGTGCTGTCCCACACAGGGAGGTATTCTGTACCCCCTTATCTCCTTACCAATACACAGAGTATTCTCAGGCCAGCATGTATATCATGCTGCAAATCTAGGACCGTTACAAAGTGGAAAAATGTATTATACATAGAAGAAATACCCATTCCATCCTTTTACTGTATTAAAGCAGTACACTGTTATCTGAGAATCCTCCTCTTCTTACTGAAGTGTTGCCTATATTGTAATTGAAAACATTAGTCCAACAAGTACATCTGAGTACTAGTTGTACATGAGATACCAAGCTTTTTTAATACACATCTGAAAGTTAAGTTACCTTTCTTGTTGCATCTGGTATCCCAAACCATGATGTTTCCGTCTCTGCCTCCAGTACAGAAGACAGCTGAGAGAGAGAAAAAGAGTGCTATTAGCTTCCAAAAGTGTTAATTCAATGAACTGAATGCAGTACAATGCTATTTATGTGCCTCTGGCTCTTCTGCCCCAACACTTGGGATGCCAGTCCTAGAAACACAAAACCCAGGCCATTGTTCTGCCATGCTTTTTGACTCTTTTCCTTACTCTTCCTGCTCTTTTTTTACTACTACTCTAGAGAAACCTGCTTATGAAAAAAGTATTTACACACTTACATATGGAAGTAGGTATCATATTTTAACCTTGCCCAAGATCAGAAATATGCAGATGTTAGCATCAGGTCACCGTGAAGTTCCAACAAGTTAGTTTTGCTTCACTGGCTGGATTGCTGCTCAGTCAGCCTGTGCTATTTGTAACTGTTAGTTTCCAAAGCCCTTTTTTAGCCCCAAAAGTACCAATGTGCCAGTGGGAAAGAAGAAGGAAAAAACAAACAGGGAATATCAACATTTACCTTTCTCAAATCTAGAAAAAGCAACTGACTTGAGGCTACACTGGTGACCTTTGCATATGCCAAGAAGCTCGCCGGCTCTCACATCCCACACCTTGGCTGTCTGATCTCCGGAAGCAGTGACCTTCAGAGGAAAAAATAAAAAGCTTTAGTCATTTTCTGCACACAGTTACCAAAGCGTTAAAAATAAAGTTAGATGGCAAAAGACTGCTTACAATCCTGTGTTCTCCTGGTACCCAGGCAAGGTCAAATACAGCATTTGAGTGAGCCTGCCATTCTAAAAAGAAAACAAAAGCCAAGATTAGTTTAGTGCATTGCAGCATGATATTTTGCAGAAGACTAAAGAACATCAAACACTGAAATCAGAAAACTTGTCAACATCTTGCCTTAGGCATGAAAACAACACAGAACAATTCACCTACTACTGCTATTGTAAAAGCACACTCATGCTGCTTCTTTGTAAAGAAGACTCAGTAAAAGTATATGAAAAGATTTAAGTACTGCCCACGTTTATGTTTAAACAACTTGCAAAAAGATTTTTTTGGTTCCAGGAAGTCGCATACTTGTCACATCAAATTAAGAGCACATTTTATATAACATTTACCCTTAAAGATGAGCTTGCTGGTAGGTTGAGCTTCAGTATCATACAGTCTAACAAACCCTTCTTCATTTGCAACTGCCAGTACATGCTCCAAATTTGGGGCTGAAAAGAAATTGAAACGTATTTGTGTATTATGCAGCTGATTCATAATCATGCCCCTGCTCTTTGTGAAGGGCTACAGACACTTTAAATAGGGTACACGGTAAATAGAATGCTGTGAAATAAACAGTATTTACACAGTAATTTAAACATTCAAAATGCAGAAATATCGGCAAGCATTTTTTCTAGATGTCCCATTCAGGAACTACTATATGTGGGCAATCAAATGGCTCCAGGACCAACTTTTGAGATAATGGCCTCTTTCACTAGCTATAATAGTCAATATAGTTATAGTTTTCTGCATCTATACTACCTGTTGTCTACAACCTCCAGTACTTTCTATGGATCTGATTTGGAAATGCAGGAAGCTGCCTTGGAGAAACATATAAGCTCACACCAAAACTAGGTACTACAAATGAAAGACTTCTGCCCTAAAGATCCAGGAGCTTCCATGCTTTCTTCACGCATCATGTATTTATTATGGGGAAACACTACATGTAACAGCCTAGCGACATCCATCCACCTCTTTGATTTCTACATACTATTCTCCAGCCTGTTATATCTTTTACAGATTTTTGAACAAAGCCCAATTTTTCAACTCTGTAGCCTAGCACTGTCACCAAGAGGACATACTTTGAAACGGACAAAGCCGAAACAGAGACATTAAAATAAATGCTTTGTAGTTGCTTCTTTAAGGGAATACTTTCCAGCTGTATATCTAGGAGCACCATGATCCAATTTATATCACATCTAGGTGCAAATACACTATTATCGGCTCACTTTAAAACAAGAAACTCTGAAACCAAATCATGAGACATATTTGAACAAACAAACAAACAAACAAAAGCTGACAGCGGTGCCCACACCCTGGCCCCTGAAAGAGCCTTTC